ATTTCTATAATCTCTCCTGCTCTGAAGGGGGAAGTGAGTACTGAGCAGTACTCGAGACGGGACAACACAAGTGACTTGAAGAGTACAACTATTGTGATGGGATCCCTGGATTTGAAAGTTCTCGTAATTCATCCTATCATTTTTCTGGCTGACGCAATATTTGCTTGGTTATGCTCCTTAAACGTTAGATCGTCGGACATTATTATTCCCAAATCCTTGACATACTGTTTTCCTACTATGGGCAGATTCGATTGTGTTTTGTACCTTGTATTATGTTTAAGGTCCTCATTTTTGTCGTATCTGAGTACTTGGAATTTATCACCGTTAAACATCATGTTATTTTCTGCTGCCCAGTCGAAAACTTTGTTAATATCTGTTTGTAGTTTATCAGTGTCTTCAGCAGAGGTAATTTTCATGCTGATTTTTGTATCATCTGCAAAGGATGACACGAAGCTGTGACGTGTAATTTTGTCTATATCTGACATGAGAATAAGGAACAGCAGTGGTGCAAGGATTGTACCTTGAGGTACAGAGCTTTTAACTGCGCTCGGACTCGATTTTACTTGATCGACCGTTACTCTGTGTTCTGTTCGACAGGAAATTGAGTATCCAGCGTCCTACTTTACCAGTTATACCCATTGACCTCATTTTGTGTGCAATCACTCCATGGTCACATTTGTCGAATGCCTTTGCAAAATCTGTGTATACGACATCTGCATTATGTTTTTCCTCTAATGCCTCAGTTATTTTGTCATAGTGGTCAAGTAGCTGTGAGAGGCATGAACTTTCTGCTCTAAATTCATGTTGGCCTGGATTGTGGAGGTCATTGGTCTCCATGAATCTAGTGACCTGACTCCTGATCACTCTCTCAAATACTTTTATTATGTGGGACGTTAGTGCAACTGGTCTATAATTCTTTGCCAATGCTTTGCTACCACCCTTGTGTAGAGGGGCAATGTCTGCTGCTTTAAGCGCATCTGGTATCTCCCCTGTGTCCAAGCTCTTCCTCCGCACTATACTGAGTTCCTGTGCCACTGGCACTTTGCATTTCTTTATAAATATTGAATTCCATGAGTCTGGACCCGGGGCTGAGTGCATGGGCATATTGTCAACTTCTCTTTCAAAATCTGTCACGCTCGTGTTGATATCAGTTATATTTACAGGTGTTTGAGTATCATTCATTAAGAAATTGTCCGAATCTTCCACTTTTATGCTGAGTATCGGAGTGCTAAACATGTCCTCATACTGCTTTTTTAGGATTTCACTAATTTCTTTGTCATCCTCAGTATATGAACCTTCACTAATACGAATAGGTCCAATAATGGCAGTGGTTTTCGCTTTTGATTTAGCATATGTGAAGAAATATTTTGGGCTCTGATACTGTGATGTATAGACTGGTGGTGGGGTAGCCTGCTGTGGTGAAGACTGATGGTGGGGTAGCCTGCTGTGGTGAAGACTGATGGTGGGGTAGCCTGCTGTGGTGAAGACTGGTGGTGGGGTAGCCTGCTGTGGTGAAGACTGGTGGTGGGGTAGCCTGCTGTGGTGAAGACTGATGGTGGGGTAGGATGCTGTGGTGTAGAGAATGGTTATCGGGTAGCCTGCCGTGGTATATAGACAGGTGGTGGGGTAGCCTACTGTGGTGCATAGAATGGTGGTGGGGTAGCCTACTGTGGTGCATAGAATGGTGGTGGGGTAGCCTACCGTGGTGCATAGAATGGTGGTGGGGTAGCCTACTGTGGTGCATAGAATGGTGGTGGGGTAGCCTACCGTGGTGCATAGAATGGTGGTGGGGTAGCCGGCTGTGGTGTATAGATTGGTGGTGGGGTTATCTTGACATGATTTCGGGGCTTTTTAGTGTCCCGCGACCCAGTCCTCGACCAGGCCTCCACCCCCAGGAAGCAGCCCGTGACAGCTGACTAACACCCAGGTACTTATTTTACTGCTAGGTAACAGGGGCATAGGGTGAAAGAAACTCTGCCCATTGTTTCTCGCCGGCGACCGGAATTGAACCCGAGACCACAGGATCACAAGTCCAGTGTGCTGTCCGCTCGGCCGACCGGCTCCCAAGTGTAGTGTATAGACTGGTAGTGGGGTAGCCTGCTGTGGTGTATACTGGTGGTGGGGTAGCCTGCTGTGGTGTATACTGGTGGTGGGGTAGCCTGCTGTGGTGTATAGACTGGTTGTGAGGTAGCCTGCTGTGGTGTATACTGGTGGTGGGGTAGCCTGCTGGGGTGTACACTGGTGGTGGGGTAGCCTGCTGTGGTGTATACTGGTGGTGGGGTAGCCTGCTGTGGTGTATAGACTGGTTGTGAGGTAGCCTGCTGTGGTGTATACTGGTGGTGGGGTAGCCTGCTGTGGTGTATAGACTGGTTGTGAGGTGGCCTGCTGTGGTGTATACTGGTGGTGGGGTAGCCTGCTGGGGTGTACACTGGTGGTGGGGTAGCCTGCTGTGGTGTATAGACTGGTTGTGAGGTAGCCTGCTGTGGTGTATACTGGTGGTGGGGTAGCCTGCTGTGGTGTATAGACTGGTGGTCGGGTAGCCTGCTCTGGTGTATAGACTGGTGGTGGTGTAGCCTGGTGGTGTAACCTGGTGGTGTACCCTGGTGGTGTAGCCTGGTGGTGTAGTCTGGTGGTGTAGCCTGGTGGTGTAGTCTGGTGGGGTAGCCTGGTGGTGTAACCTGGTGGTGTAGCCTGGTGGTGTAGCCTGGTGTAGTTGCCTGGTGGTGTAGCCTGGTGGTGTAACCTGGTGGTGTAGCCTGGTGGTGTAGCCTGGTGGTGTAGCCTGGTGTAGTTGCCTGGTGGTGTAGCCTGGTGGTGTAACCTGGTGGGGTAACCTGGTGGGGTAACCTGGTGGTGTAGCCTGGTGGTGTAGCCTGGTGGTGTAGCCTGGTGGTGTAACCTGGTGGTGTAGCCTGGTGGTGTAGCCTGGTGGTGTAGCCTGGTGTAGTTGCCTGGTGGTGTAGCCTGGTGGTGTAACCTGGTGGGGTAACCTGGTGGGGTAACCTGGTGGTGTAGCCTGGTGGTGTAGCCTGGTGGTGTAGCCTGGTGGTATAATCTGGTGGGGTAGCCTGGTGGTATTGCCTGGTGGTGTAGCCTGGTGGTGTAGCCTGGTGGTGTAGCCTGGTGGTGTAGCCTGGTGGTGTAGCCTGGTAGTGTAGCCTGGTGGTGTATCCTGGTGGGGTAGCCTGGTGGTGTAGCCTGGTGGTGTAGCCTGGTGGGGTAGCCTGGTGGTGTAGCCTGGTGGTGTAACCTGGTGGTGTAGCCTGGTGGGGTAACCTGGTGGTGTAGCCTGGTGGTGTAGCCTGGTGGTGTAGCCTGGTGGTGTAGCCTGGTGGTGTAGCCTGGTGGGGTAACCTGGTGGTGTAGTCTGGTGGTGTAGCCTGGAGGTGTAACGTGGTGGTGTAGCCTGGTGGGGTAGCCTGGTGGGGTAGCCTGGTGGGGTAACCTGGTGGTGTAGCCTGGTGGTGTAGCCTGGTGGTGTAGCCTGGTGGTGTAGCCTGGTGGTGTAGCCTGGTGGGGTAGCCTGGTGGGGTAGCCTGGTGGGGTAGCCTGGTGGTGTAGCCTGGTGGTGTAGCCTGGTGGTGTAGCCTGGTGGGGTAGCCTGGTGGTGTAGCCTGGTGGTGTAGCCTGGTGGTGTAGCCTGGTGGGGTAGCCTGGAGGTGTAGCCTGGTGGGGTAGCCTGGTGGTGTAGCCTGGTAGTGTAGCCTGGTGGTGTAGCCTGGTGGGGTAGCCTGGTGGGGTAGCCTGGTGGGGTAGCCTGGTGGTATAGCCTGGTGGAGTAGCCTGGTGGTGTAGCCTGGTGGTGTAGCCTGGTGGTGTAGCCTGGTGGGGTAGCCTGGAGGTGTAGCCTGGTGGGGTAGCCTGGTGGTGTAGCCTGGTAGTGTAGCCTGGTGGTGTAGCCTGGTGGGGTAGCCTGGTGGGGTAGCCTGGTGGGGTAGCCTGGTGGGGTAGCCTGGTGGTATAGCCTGGTGGAGTAGCCTGGTGGTGTAGCCTGGTGGTATAGCCTGGAGGGGTAGCCTGGTGGTGCAGTCTGGTGGTGTAGCCTGGTGGTGTAGCCTGGTGGTATAGCCTGGAGGTGTAACGTGGTGGTGTTGCCTGGTGGTGTAACCTGGTGGGGTAGCCTGGTGGTGTAGCCTGGTGGTATTGCCTGGTGGTGTAGCCTGGTGGTATTGCCTGGTGGGGTAGCCTGGTGGTGTAGCCTGGTGGGGTAGCCTGGTGGTGTAGCCTGGTGGTGTAGCCTGGTGGTGTAGCCTGGTGGTGTAGCCTGGTAGTGTAGCCTGAAGGGGTAGCCTGGTGGTGTAGCCTGGTGGTGTAGCCTGGTGGTATTGCCTGGTGGTGTAGCCTGGTGGGGTAGCCTGGTGGTGTAGCCTGGTGGGGTAGCCTGAAGGGGTAGCCTGGTGGGGTAGCCTGGTGGTGTAGCCTGGTGGTATTGCCTGGTGGTGTAGCCTGGTGGGGTAGCCTGGTGGGGTAGCCTGGTGGTGTAGCCTGGTAGTGTAGCCTGAAGGGGTAGCCGTGTAGGGAAGTAGTTACAGGACTTCAAGAAGTCTGTGGTTGCAAGATCAACATTTAACAATTACACCAGAGTTACTGGGAGTGAAAACATGATCAACTTGCATTCCAAATGAACTTTTGCATCAGGATTGTATTAACGTCCGGCGAAATGTGCTGAATAGTAATGGAGACTTGTGAAATATTGCATAAATGAAAGGCAACGATAGTTTCTTATTTGATCGTCTTCCTAACCTGTCCCTGATTGGCTGAAAATTTTCATACTTACTTTCAAAATAGTTCCGCTACTCGCAAATAAAAAAATACACCGATAATATTAAAACAAACTAGGGAATTTATGACAAATTAAGGATACCATTAGGTTATAGTAGAATAAGTGTGTTAATGACAGGTTAAGGGAGATAGGGAGAAAAGTGAGGCATTATCCGAGCGTGGGAAGGAGGTGGTGGCGGGTGAGGGTGGGAGCACGTGGCGCCGGGCGCGGGGTCCTGCAGGCGGGTCAGTCGGCCGGGTGCAGGCAGCCAGGCAGGATGGAGGACACCAACGCCCTCTACAGGAGTATCGCCGCTCAGGACCACAGCTTCAAGGCCTATGTGTGGAACAAACAAACCAGAGAATTCCTGGGCCGGACGGGGACATTATGGTGTAAGTATCAAGCGAGAGTGTCGGCTGACGTAATACAAGGGCACATTTCTCAGAGCTTGCAGGAACCTTAAAGAATATATTGTTAAAGGAGACTAGATATTCTTAGCTGTTCCAGGAGGGAGCCATTTACACCCTAGCCGCTTGGTAGACAACTATATAAACAGTCTACTCCTTAACTTGGGTTGCAAACATTGACGTAGTAAGCAATTTGATAGTAGAAGCCAACAAATCCACCAGGGCCGTGATAAGGGTTCGAACCTTCGTCCGAGAGGATCACAGACGCTCGTTAACCGACTTAATCGGGGGGGGGGGAAGGGGGGTATTGTGCAGGGGGGGAATTGTGTAAAGTGCTGGTGTGTGTCTCGGAGAGGCTGCAGGGCCCGTGTGAGGTCCCTAGACCTCCCAGCTGACGTTCATTCAACCACGTGGTGGAACAGTCGACTAAGGCGCGTCTGGGATCACCCCGGACGAAGGTTCGAACCCTCATCACGTCCCTTGTGGATTTGTTCATTTGATGTATCAAACTATTGTGATTTCAGTGTGTAATAGAAGCAAATAGTAGAACTGTGTACTGTTCACTTTTTAGAGTCCGAAAAAATTAAGTTAAAAAACAAACCTAAATATTCCTAGGCCGAGTATAGCACACATGTATTCTATATTAGGCCTAAGAAGGCCTAATATAGTACATATGTGTACTGTAAGGAAGGTTAGGTTAGTGTACTTTTTCTTTGCAAAAAAAAAAAAAAATAGAAAAATCATTTCTGGTTTGTCCAAATTCAGGAGTACCGAGTTATACTTTCTTGTGGGTGGCGTAGGTACTACTGTGTTGCTGGGTGTAGGTACTACTGTGTTGCTGGGTGTAGGTACTACTGTGTTCCTGGGTGTAGGTACTACTGTGTTGCTGGGTGTAGGTACTACTGTGTTGCTGGGTGTAGGTACTACTGTGTTGCTGGGTGTAGGTACTACTGTGTTGCTGGGTGTAGGTACTACTGTGTTGCTGGGTGTAGGTACTACTGTGTTGCTGGGTGTAGGTACTACTGTGTTGCTGGGTGTAGGTACTACTGTGTTGCTGGGTGTAGGTACTACTGTGTTGCTGGGTGTAGGTACTACTGTGTTGCTGGGTGTAGGTACTACTGTGTTGCTGGGTGTAGGTACTACTGTGTTGCTGGGTGTAGGTACTACTGTGTTGCTGGGCGTAGGTACTACTGTGTTGCTGGGTGTAGGTACTACTGTGTTGCTGGGTGTAGGTACTACTGTGTTGCTGGGTGTAGGTACTACTGTGTTGCTGGGCGTAGGTACTACTGTGTTGCTGGGTGTAGGTACTACTGTGTTGCTGGGTGTAGGTACTACTGTGTTCCTGGGTGTAGGTACTACTGTGTTGCTGGGCGTAGGTACTACTGTGTTGCTGGGCGTAGGTACTACTGTGTTGCTGGGTGTAGGTACTACTGTGTTGCTGGGTGTAGGTACTACTGTGTTCCTGGGTGTAGGTACTACTGTGTTGCTGGGCGTAGGTACTACTGTGTTGCTGGGCGTAGGTACTACTGTGTTGCTGGGTGTAGGTACTACTGTGTTGCTGGGCGTAGGTACTACTGTGTTGCTGGGTGTAGGTACTACTGTGTTGCTGGGCGTAGGTACTACTGTGTTCCTGGGTGTAGGTACTACTGTGTTGCTGGGCGTAGGTACTACTGTGTTGCTGGGCGTAGGTACTACTGTGTTGCTGGGTGTAGGTACTACTGTGTTGCTGGGTGTAGGTACTACTGTGTTGCTGGGCGTAGGTACTACTGTGTTGCTGGGCGTAGGTACTACTGTGTTGCTGGGTGTAGGTACTACTGTGTTGCTGGGCGTAGGTACTACTGTGTTGCTGGGTGTAGGTACTACTGTGTTGCTGGGCGTAGGTACTACTGTGTTGCTGGGTGTAGGTACTACTGTGTTGCTGGGTGTAGGTACTACTGTGTTGCTGGGTGTAGGTACTACTGTGTTGCTGGGTGTAGGTACTACTGTGTTGCTGGGTGTAGGTACTACTGTGTTGCTGGGTGTAGGTACTACTGTGTTGCTGGGTGTAGGTACTACTGTGTTGCTGGGTGGTGTAGGTACTACTGTGTTGCTGGGTGTAGGTACTACTGTGTTGCTGGGTGTAGGTACTACTGTGTTGCTGGGTGTAGGTACTACTGTGTTGCTGGGTGGTGTAGGTACTACTGTGTTGCTGGGTGTAGGTACTACTGTGTTGCTGGGTGTAGGTACTACTGTGTTGCTGGGTGTAGGTACTACTGTGTTGCTGGGTGGTGTAGGTACTACTGTGTTGCTGGGTGTAGGTACTACTGTGTTGCTGGGTGTAGGTACTACTGTGTTGCTGGGTGTAGGTACTACTGTGTTGCTGGGTGGTGTAGGTACTACTGTGTTGCTGGGTGTAGGTACTACTGTGTTGCTGGGTGTAGGTACTACTGTGTTGCTGGGTGTAGGTACTACTGTGTTGCTGGGTGGTGTAGGTACTACTGTGTTGCTGGGTGTAGGTACTACTGTGTTGCTGGGTGTAGGTACTACTGTGTTGCTGGGTGTAGGTACTACTGTGTTGCTGGGTGTAGGTACTACTGTGTTGCTGGGTGTAGGTACTACTGTGTTGCTGGGTGTAGGTACTACTGTGTTGCTGGGTGTAGGTACTACTGTGTTGCTGGGTGTAGGTACTACTGTGTTCCTGGGCGTAGGTACTACTGTGTTGCTGGGTGTAGGTACTACTGTGTTCCTGGGCGTAGGTACTACTGTGTTGCTGGGCGTAGGTACTACTGTGTTGCTGGGCGTAGGTACTACTGTGTTGCTGGGTGTAGGTACTACTGTGTTGCTGGGCGTAGGTACTACTGTGTTGCTGGGTGTAGGTACTACTGTGTTGCTGGGTGTAGGTACTACTGTGTTGCTGGGTGTAGGTACTACTGTGTTGCTGGGCGTAGGTACTACTGTGTTGCTGGGTGTAGGTACTACTGTGTTGCTGGGTGTAGGTACTACTGTGTTGCTGGGTGTAGGTACTACTGTGTTGCTGGGTGTAGGTACTACTGTGTTGCTGGGTGTAGGTACTACTGTGTTCCTGGGTGGCGTAGGTACTACTGTGTTGCTGGGTGTAGGTACTACTGTGTTGCTGGGTGTAGGTACTACTGTGTTCCTGGGTGTAGGTACTACTGTGTTGCTGGGTGTAGGTACTACTGTGTTGCTGGGTGTAGGTACTACTGTGTTGCTGGGTGTAGGTACTACTGTGTTCCTGGGTGTAGGTACTACTGTGTTCCTGGGTGTAGGTACTACTGTGTTCCTGGGTGGCGTAGGTACTACTGTGTTGCTGGGTGTAGGTACTACTGTGTTCCTGGGTGGCGTAGGTACTACTGTGTTCCTGGGTGTAGGTACTACTGTGTTGCTGGGTGTAGGTACTACTGTGTTCCTGGGTGGCGTAGGTACTACTGTGTTGCTGGGTGTAGGTACTACTGTGTTCCTGGGTGGCGTAGGTACTACTGTGTTCCTGGGTGTAGGTACTACTGTGTTCCTGGGTGTAGGTACTACTGTGTTCCTGGGTGTAGGTACTACTGTGTTCCTGGGTGTAGGTACTACTGTGTTCCTGGGTGTAGGTACTACTGTGTTCCTGGGTGGTGTAGGTACTACTGTGTTCCTGGGTGGTGTAGGTACTACTGTGTTGCTGGGTGTAGGTACTACTGTGTTCCTGGGTGGTGTAGGTACTACTGTGTTGCTGGGTGGTGTAGGTACTACTGTGTTCCTGGGTGGTGTAGGTACTACTGTGTTGCTGGGTGTAGGTACTACTGTGTTCCTGGGTGGTGTAGGTACTACTGTGTTACTGGGTGTAGGTACTACTGTGTTCCTGGGTGGTGTAGGTACTACTGTGTTCCTGGGTGGTGTAGGTACTACTGTGTTCCTGGGTGGTGTAGGTACTACTGTGTTCCTGGGTGGTGTAGGTACTACTGTGTTCCTGGGTGGTGTAGGTACTACTGTGTTCCTGGGTGGTGTAGGTACTACTGTGTTCCTGGGTGGTGTAGGTACTACTGTGTTCCTGGGTGGTGTAGGTACTACTGTGTTCCTGGGTGGTGTAGGTACTACTGTGTTCCTGGGTGGTGTAGGTACTACTGTGTTCCTGGGTGGTGTAGGTACTACTGTGTTCCTGGGTGGTGTAGGTACTACTGGGTTCCTGGGTGGTGTAGGTACTACTGTGTTCCTGGGTGGTGTAGGTACTACTGGGTTCCTGGGTGGTGTAGGTACTACTGTGTTCCTGGGTGGTGTAGGTACTACTGGGTTCCTGGGTGGTGTAGGTACTACTGTGTTCCTGGGTGGTGTAGGTACTACTGTGTTCCTGGGTGGTGTAGGTACTACTGTGTTCCTGGGTGGTGTAGGTACTACTGTGTTGCTGGGTGTAGGTACTACTGTGTTGCTGGGTGTAGGTACTACTGTGTTCCTGGGTGGTGTAGGTACTACTGTGTTCCTGGGTGCTGTAGGTACTACTATGTTCCTGGGTGGTGTAGGTACTACTGTGTTTCTGGGTGGTGTAGGTACTACTGTGTTGCTGGGTGTAGGTACTACTGTGCTCCTGTGTGTAGGTACTACTGTGCTCCTGGTTACTGTGAGTACTCCCAGCACCGGCGGCTGGGCTCTCACACACGCTACGGTGTCACTACACCACCTCAACACTACTATTTATCCACGTAAAACATTTATGTTAGGAGCACAGTGTTCAGAGTTCCAGTAGTAGTTGACTCGTTGTAACACTGACCTTCACTTGTTACTGTGACGTAACGTGAGGCCTGGTGTGTTACTGTGACGTAACGTGAGGCCTGGTGTGTTACTGTGACGTAACGTGAGGCCTGGTGTGTGACTGACGTAACGTGAGGCCTGGTGTGTTACTGTGACGTAACGTGAGGCCTGGTGTGTGACTGTGACGTAACGTGAGGCCTGGTGTGTGACTGTGACGTAACGTGAGGCCTGGTGTGTTACTGTGACGTAACGTGAGGCCTGGTGTGTTACTGTGACGTAACGTGAGGCCTGGTGTGTTACTGTGACGTAACGTGAGGCCTGGTGTGTTACTGTGACGTAACGTGAGGCCTGGTGTGTGACTGTGACGTAACGTGAGGCCTGGTGTGTGACTGTGAAGTAACGTGAGGCCTGGTGTGTTACTGTGACGTAACGTGAGGCCTGGTGTGTTGTTGGAGTGTTACTGTGGCTAGGATAGGATATGCTAGGTTAGGATATGCTAGGTTAGGATAGGCTAGGTTAGGATAAGCTAGGTTAGGATAGGCTAGGTTAGGATAAGCTAGGTTAGGATAGGGTAGGTTAGGATAGGGTAGGTGTTTTGGTTCTATTATAAAGTGTTTGTATGTGTGGGTGAAGCATTTAGAGGCAAACGACTCGAACACAGGATGAGAGCGAAGCACTCTTATACGTAAGTTTGTGCGTAATTATCTGGAGATCATTTACAAAGAGTCGCCCCTGGACACTGGAGGCCGTCCTCGTCAACAACGGCAGGTGTGCAACCCGTCCTCTTAAAAATAACGTTACTTTTGGCTCGTATGCGCGCTATGGCCAAATTTGGACGTAATTTGAAATGAAATCGACTCACAAAAGTGACGTACTGTTCCGTTTTCTGTTTGAGTCGTCCGGCGTACGCGCAGAGGTTAAAAGAGGACAGTTTAAATTAATGTTTTTCATTCCGTTTTGAAACTTTATGAGAATTTCCTGCCCACCTAACCTATCAGAGGACCCTTAACTTACTGTTGTTGGAAAAAAAATCCCAAATTTAATTTCATTTTTTTTCATTTTCAAATTACGTCCATATTCGGCCATACGGGCAAACGGCCAAAAGCGACTCTCTTTTTAAGAGGACAGGTTGGTGCGCCGTCGAACTCCCTCTTTATAAATGATTCACTCACCAAAATCACGATGCAAAACTGATGACGTTCGAAAATTTCTCGAATGCTGTAAATGCTTCACACACTTACTACAAATACAAATAATTGCCGATAGAACCTTACCTAGCCTAACTTAAAGATACACAATATTCTAATGTAAATATTAATTTATATATATACGAGAAAATTTCTATTTTGAATCAACAAGATATAAAAATTGATGGCTGCGTGTTTCGGGGGTTTAGACCCCCCCCTTACCTGGAAATTATACTATATATATATATACTATATATTATATTATACTACAAGTATATATATTATACTACAAGTATATATATTATACTACAAGTATATATATTATACTACATATCAGAGGTTAGGTCCAAGTCGGTTGGGTTGATGCATAATCAACACTTTCCTCCCATAAACATGATACATATAAAGTTAGGTCCAGGGCGGCTGAGTCGATGTGTACAAACAAAAACACTTACCCAATATTATAGTCACAACATTGAACACAAATCCAAGCACGTTAAGCGAGGAGCAGTTAGGTTCATACCCTAAAAATCACTTTTCTAAGAATATTGATTTCAATATTCAACAAAGACCCAAGCAGGTTAGGTATAGGTCATTTAGGTGTATAAATACGAAATCAACACTTTTCAAACTATATATGTCGTATCAGAGGTAAGGTTCAAGTTGGTTGAGTTGTGGTAATATGAGGGAAATTCCTAGTAACAACACTTCTAATAATAATATTTTAGTGAAATGGAATGGAATGGAATGGAATGGAATGGAAGTATACATTAGCAGCTCTTACAATACAACCCGTTCTCGCAAATTCGTAAAGTCAATATTGACTTATTAACTACGTGCATAGGTGATATACTAAACATAATAGATACCCTTAAAAAGCTTCATAGAAAACACCGACCTTACCTAACCTTGTTAGTATCTTAAGATAAGCATCTTATTGCTTCGTAATTACAATTATTACTTAACCTATACCTATTATAGGTTAGGTAATAATTGTAATTACGAAGCTATAAGATGCTTATCTTAAGATACTAACAAGGTTAGGTAAGGTCGGTGTTTTCTATGAATCTTTTTATTACAATTAATTCGTGCCCTTGGGAGTGAGGTGTTTAGGTACATTGAGTTGAATTTTGGATTTTGGTTTGATATAATTAGGATAAATTTAGTGGAAATGGCTCAAACTGGGATAATTTGGGTTTAATTTATCTAATGTTGTGTTTGGACAGGTCAGGATAGGTCTGGTTTGGTAGGATTGATGATATAAAAACACATCTGGATATTGGAAATAGCTAGATGGACACAGCACTAACTTTATGAAATCGTCTTAGGAACTGGGTATGTTGGGCCAAGACTGGATGTTGGATATTGGAGATATACATTAAATTTAGATGGAATAAGAGAAACTTTGGTAAATATGGGCTTTGGCTGGACTATGATATGAAACATTGGGGCAAATTTGGAGGAAAATATCTTAAATAAGAATAAATTTAGGTGAGACGGCATAAATTCTGTCATCTTTAATCAAATCCAACTTCGGATGTGCTAGGTCAGGTAAGGTAAGGTTATGTACGGTAGAATATACACTGTCTTAGGGGTAATGAACTAGCTGCTTCATGAAATAGTATAAATTATCCTATTTGGTTTAGAGCTATGGCTAGTTCATGTAATGGGTGGGCAGAGGTAACATAGGCTTATATATATGAGGATATGGGATTACCTTGAGGTTATCTTGAGTTGATTTCGGGGCTTAGCGTCCTCGCGGCCCGGTCCTCGACCAGACCTCCTTTTTGTTACACATCCCCAGGAAGCAGCCCGTAGCAGCTGTCTAACTCCCAGGTACCTATTTACTGCCAGGTGAACAGGTGCATCAAGGTGAATGAAACTGCCCATTTGTTTCTGCCTCCACCGGGGATCGAACCTGGAACCTCAGGACTACGAATCCGAAGCGCTGTGCACTCAGCTGTCAGGGATGCTTATATTTAGTTAGTTTAGCTTTTGTTAGGTTGAGTTTGGTTAAATTGGTGTTGTATAAGTATACTTTTTTCTAGGTTTAGATTAGTTTAGGTTTAATAGGATGCGTTTGATAGGACATAATAAATATGCTTCAATTATCATAGTAATTACTGACGTCACCTAACCCTACATGCCCTAACCTAACCTAAGTTTATATACAATAACTCTGTTAGACGGTTTGCCTAAATATATATATATATATATATATAAATGTTATGATTAGAGAGGATGTAACAAGGTGGTATATATTTAATAGCCAAACTATGGATGTAAAAACCAACTTGGCCTAAATGGTGTCCCAATGCAATTATTTGAATTACCATTTGCATCTGATGAACCAATCTCCTCTCAGCCACAATCATTTACAGTCAATACATATAACTAAATACAATTAAATCCACATTGAGTTAACAATCTTGATGAAGAGCTTCCCATGTCCGGTTGTATGAGAACTGATATATTATATTTGTTAACAGTTAAGCTGCTGGTGTTCTACGTGATCTTCTACATATGCCTGGCTGCCTTCTTCGCCGTGATGATGGTGCTGCTCTACCAGTCCATAGACACCCAGCACATGCCCACCTACATCCCCGGGGACGGCGGCTCCATCAACCACAGTCCAGGTCTGTCACCCTCCTGCTCTCCCTCACCTGTCACCCTCCTGCTCTCTCTCACCTCTGTCACCCTCCTGCTGTCTCTCACCTCTGTCACCCTCCTGCTGTCTCTCACCTCTGTCACCCTCCTGCTGTCTCTCACCTCTGTCACCCTCCTGCTGTCTCTCACCTCTGTCACCCTCCTGCTGTCTCTCACCTGTCACCCTCCTGCTGTCTCTCACCTGTCACCCTCCTGCTGTCTCTCACCTCTGTCACCCTCCTGCTGTCTCTCACCTGTCACCCTCCTGCTGTCTCTCACCTCTGTCACCCTCCTGCTGTCTCTCACCTGTCACCCTCCTGCTGTCTCTCACCTCTGTCACCCTCCTGCTGTCTCTCACCTCTGTCACCCTCCTGCTGTCTCTCACCTGTCACCCTCCTGCTGTCTCTCACCTGTCACCCTCCTGCTGTCTCTCACCTGTCACCCTCTTGCTGTCTCTCACCTGTCACCCTCCTGCTCTCTCTCACCTGTCACCCTCCTGCTGTCTCTCACCTCTGTCACCCTCCTGCTGTCTCTCACCTCTGTCACCCTCCTGCTGTCTCTCACCTCTGTCACCCTCCTGCTGTCTCTCACCTCTGTCACCCTCCTGCTGTCTCTCACCTGTCACCCTCCTGCTGTCTCTCACCTGTCACCCTCCTGCTGTCTCTCACCTCTGTCACCCTCCTGCTGTCTCTCACCTGTCACCCTCCTGCTGTCTCTCACCTCTGTCACCCTCCTGCTGTCTCTCACCTGTCACCCTCCTGCTGTCTCTCACCTCTGTCACCCTCCTGCTGTCTCTCACCTCTGTCACCCTCCTGCTGTCTCTCACCTGTCACCCTCCTGCTGTCTCTCACCTGTCACCCTCCTGCTGTCTCTCACCTGTCACCCTCTTGCTGTCTCTCACCTGTCACCCTCCTGCTCTCTCTCACCTGTCACCCTCCTGCTGTCTCTCACCTCTGTCACCCTCCTGCTGTCTCTCACCTCTGTCACCCTCCTGCTGTCTCTCACCTCTGTCACCCTCCTGCTGTCTCTCACCTCTGTCACCCTCCTGCTGTCTCTCACCTGTCACCCTCCTGCTCTCTCTCACCTGTCACCCTCCTGCTGTCTCTCACCTCTGTCACCCTCCTGCTGTCTCTCACCTCTGTCACCCTCCTGCTGTCTCTCACCTCTGTCACCCTCCTGCTGTCTCTCACCTGTCACCCTCCTGCTGTCTCTCACCTCTGTCACCCTCCTGCTGTCTCTCACCTCTGTCACCCTCCTGCTGTCTCTCACCTGTCACCCTCCTGCTGTCTCTCACCTGTCACCCTCCTGCTGTCTCTCACCTGTCACCCTCCTGCTGTCTCTCACCTCTGTCACCCTCCTGCTGTCTCTCACCTGTCACCCTCCTGCTGTCTCTCACCTCTGTCACCCTCCTGATGTGTCTCACCCGTCACCCTCCTGCTGTCTCTCACCTCTGTCACCCTCCTGCTGTCTCTCACCTCTGTCACCCTCCTGCTGTCTCTCACCTCTGTCACCCTCCTGCTGTCTCTCACCTGTCACCCTCCTGCTGTCTCTCACCTGTCACCCTCCTGCTGTCTCTCACCTCTGTCACCCTCCTGCTGTCTCTCACCTCTGTCACCCTCCTGCTCTCTCTCACCTCTGTCACCCTCCTGCTGTCTCTCACCTCTGTCACCCTCCTGCTGTCTCTCACCTCTGTCACCCTCCTGCTGTCTCTCACCTCTGTCACCCTCCTGCTGTCTCTCACCTCTGTCACCCTCCTGCTGTCTCTCACCTCTGTCACCCTCCTGCTGTCTCTCACCTCTGTCACCCTCCTGCTGTCTCTCACCTCTGTCACCCTCCTGCTGTCTCTCACCTCTGTCACCCTCCTGCTGTCTCTCACCTCTGTCACCCTCCTGCTGTCTCTCACCTCTGTCACCCTCCTGCTGTCTCTCACCTCTGTCACCCTCCTGCTGTCTCTCACCTCTGTCACCCTCCTGCTGTCTCTCACCTCTGTCACCCTCCTGCTGTCTCTCACCTCTGTCACCCTCCTGCTGTCTCTCACCTCTGTCACCCTCCTGCTGTCTCTCACCTCTGTCACCCTCCTGCTGTCTCTCACCTCTGTCACCCTCCTGCTGTCTCTCACCTCTGTCACCCTCCTGCTGTCTCTCACCTCTGTCACCCTCCTGCTGTCTCTCACCTCTGTCACCCTCCTGCTGTCTCTCACCTCTGTCACCCTCCTGCTGTCTCTCACCTCTGTCACCCTCCTGCTGTCTCTCACCTCTGTCACCCTCCTGCTGTCTCTCACCTCTGTCACCCTCCTGCTGTCTCTCACCTCTGTCACCCTCCTGCTGTCTCTCACCTCTGTCACCCTCCTGCTGTCTCTCACCTCTGTCACCCTCCTGCTGTCTCTCACCTCTGTCACCCTCCTGCTGTCTCTCACCTCTGTCACCCTCCTGCTGTCTCTCACCTCTGTCACCCTCCTGCTGTCTCTCACCTCTGTCACCCTCCTGCTGTCTCTCACCTCTGTCACCCTCCTGCTGTCTCTCACCTCTGTCACCCTCCTGCTGTCTCTCACCTCTGTCACCCTCCTGCTGTCTCTCACCTCTGTCACCCTCCTGCTGTCTCTCACCTCTGTCACCCTCCTGCTGTCTCTCACCTCTCACCCTCCTGCTGTCTCTCTGTCACCCTCCTGCTGTCTCTCACCTCTGTCACCCTCCTGCTGTCTCTCACCCTGTCACCCTCCTGCTGTCTCTCACCTCTGTCACCCTCCTGCTGTCTCTCACCTCTGTCACCCTCCTGCTGTCTCTCACCTCTGTCACCCTCCTGCTGTCTCTCACCTCTGTCACCCTCCTGCTGTCTCTCACCTCTGTCACCCTCCTGCTGTCTCTCACCTCTGTCACCCTCCCTCCTGTCACCCTCCTGTCTCTCACCTCTGTCACCCTCCTGCTGTCTCTCACCTCTGTCACCCTCCTGCTGTCTCTCACCTCTGTCACCCTCCTGCTGTCTCTCACCTCTGTCACCCTCCTGCTGTCTCTCTCTCACCTCTGTCACCCTCCTGCTGTCTCTCACCTCTGTCACCCTCCTGCTGTCTCTCACCTCTGTCACCCTCCTGCTGTCTCTCACCTCTCACCTCTGTCACCCTCCTGCTGTCTCTCACCTCTGTCACCCTCCTGCTGTCTCTCACCTCTGTCACCCTCCTGCTGTCTCTCACCTCTGTCACCCTCCTGCTGTCTCTCACCTCTGTCACCCTCCTGCTGTCTCTCACCTCTGTCACCCTCCTGCTGTCTCTCACCTCTGTCACCCTCCTGCTGTCTCTCACCTCTGTCACCCTCCTGCTGTCTCTCACCTCTGTCACCCTCCTGCTGTCTCTCACCTCTGTCACCCTCCTGCTGTCTCTCACCTCTGTCACCCTCCTGCTGTCTCTCACCTCTGTCACCCTCCTGCTGTCTCTCACCTCTGTCACCCTCCTGCTGTCTCTCACCTCTGTCACCCTCCTGCTCTCTCTCACCTCTGTCACCCTCCTGCTGTCTCTCACCTCTGTCACCCTCCTGCTGTCTCTCACCTCTGTCACCCTCCTGCTGTCTCTCACCTCTGTCACCCTCCTGCTGTCTCTCACCTCTGTCACCCTCCTGCTGTCTCTCACCTCTGTCACCCTCCTGCTGTCTCTCACCTCTGTCACCCTCCTGCTCTCTCTCACCTCTGTCACCCTCCTGCTGTCTCTCTGTCTCTCTGTCACCCTCCTGCTCTCTCTCACCTCTGTCACCCTCCTGCTGTCTCTCACCTGTCACCCTCCTGCTGTCTCTCACCTCTGTCACCCTCCTGCTGTCTCTCACCTGTCACCCTCCTGCTGTCTCTCACCTCTGTCACCCTCCTGCTGTCTCTCACTGCTGTCACCCTCCTGCTGTCTCTCACCTCTGTCACCCTCCTGCTGTCTCTCACCTCTGTCACCCTCCTGCTGTCTCTCACCTGTCACCCTCCTGCTGTCTCTCACCTGCTGCTGTCTCTCACCTCCTGCTGTCTCTCACCTCCTGCTGTCTCTCACCTGCTGCTGTCTCTCACCTGCTGCTGTCTCTCACCTGCTGCTGTCTCTCACCTGCTGCTGTCTCTCACCTGCTGCTGTCTCTCACCTCTGTCACCCTCCTGCTGTCTCTCATCTGTCACCCTCCTGCTGTCTCTCACCTGTCACCCTCCTGCTCTCTCTCACCTCTGTCACCCTCCTGCTCTCTCTCACCTGTCACCCTCCTGCTCTCTCTCACCTGTCACCCTCCTGCTGTCTCTCACCTCTGTCACCCTCCTGCTGTCTCTCACCTGTCACCCTCCTGCTCTCTCTCACCTCTGTCACCCTCCTGCTGTCTCTCACCTGTCACCCTCCTGCTGTCTCTCACCTGTCACCCTCCTGCTGTCTCTCACCTCTGTCACCCTCCTGCTGTCTCTCACCTCTGTCACCCTCCTGCTGTCACCCTCCTCTGTCTCTCACCTGTCACCCTCCTGCTGTCTCTCACCTCTGTCACCCTCCTGCTGTCTCTCACCTCTGTCACCCTCCTGCTGTCTCTCACCTGTCACCCTCCTGCTGTCTCTCACTTGTCACCCTCTTGCTGTCTCTCACCTGTCACCCTCCTGCTGTCTCTCACCTGTCACCCTCCTGCTCTCTCTCACCTCTGTCACCCTCCTGCTGTCTCTCATCTGTCACCCTCCTGCTGTCTCTCACCTGTCACCCTCCTGCTCTCTCTCACCTCTGTCACCCTCCTGCTGTCTCTCACCTGTCACCCTCCTGCTGTCTCTCACCTGTCACCCTCCTGCTCTCTCTCACCTCTGTCACCCTCCTGCTGTCTCTCACCTGTCACCCTCCTGCTCTCTCTCACCTCTGTCACCCTCCTGCTGTCTCTCACCTGTCACCCTCCTGCTGTCTCTCACCTGTCACCCTCCTGCTGTCTCTCACCTCTGTCACCCTCCTGATGTCTCTCACCTCTGTCACCCTCCTGCTGTCTCTCACCTGTCACCCTCCTGCTGTCTC